ATAAAATAATAAATATTGCAAAGTCATAATGAAAATGATATAATTTAAAAAGTACTAAATCATGCTAAAATAAGTTTAATAAGTATTAGTTACATTACTAAATATTTAAGGAAAATTAAAATTAGATTATGTATTTTAATTGTCTAATCCAATGCAAAATTAAAGAACAAATATTCAATATTATTGTCATTCTTAGTGTTGAATTGATTTTCTTTTTGCATTAGTATTAATTTGATTTTGATTTAATTTTTATTATAATTATCAACATCTATGAACTATAATCTTTAATGGACCATTTCGAATTCTAAGTTTTAAACTTGAAATAATATATTAAAAGATAAAAACTATGAAATAGTATAAGAAATATTTTAAAAATTATCTCAAAGTAAATATTTTTATGTATAAAATAAAAATTTAAAAATTACGTATATAATGTCGGGTTGGTTTGGATTCGGGTTGTATTTTTTTAGTTAAAACCAAACCAACCCAAATATAGTCGGGTTTTTTTCCAATACCAAACCAAGTCAAACCAAACCACTAGTCGGGTTTTTTTTTTTTGGTTCGATTTTCGATTCGATTTTGTACACCCCTAGGCACAAGCTCATGCATGGCCCCTTGATGGCACGAGCCCTTGTATCTAGTGATTAATAGAGAAACGAACTACGTTAATATACTACCTAATCTATTTTACCTGTCATGTTTTTTTTATATCCCTTAATTTAGTCTTCTTTCTTTTGCATGCACATTAATATCCTTCCATATTTATATATGATTAAGGGTAAAATTGAAAACAAACAATTAATGAGTTTTAATTTTTTTAAAAATAACAAATATTATAAACTAACTATTTTTAGTAAGAACGACAAATAAAGTAATCCGGAAGGAATATTAAATATGGTTGTTGGAAAAGGAAAATTATATTCCTAAGCCAAAACCAAAACGGAATAGAAAAAAGAAAGAAGAGCCGCTATTTAATTTCCTAATTTGATTTCCGTTAGGAATAGTATCTTAATTTGTCTTCTCTATATATTGCCATCAAAACCAGGAACAGCACTCATCAACTATTGCAAAATCACCAATACTTCTATATAATTTGCTCTCCTCAAAAGAAATAATCAAAATATTAGTACAAGAAAGTGATAATAAATCAAATTAAAGGAAGATGACTTCTTGCGGCAAAGTAGAAAATCCAATTCTATGTGCAGGGGGTTGTGGTTTTTATGGAACTTCAAGCAATCACAACCTTTGTTCCCAATGTTACAAAGCTTTTTCTTAAAGAAGAAGCCAAGAATATCGTGGTTTTATCTAAAAAGATATCATCTCTTACTTTTCATGAAGGTACAACAACTGAGAATGTTGATTCGACAATGAAGATTAAGCAAAGATGCATGACTTGCAAGAAGAAAGTAGGATTAATAGGGTTTAGTTGTCGATGTAAAGGAATGTTTTGTAGTGTTCATAAGTATCCTGAAGAACATTCATGTACTTTCGATTACAAGTCTTTTGGTCGTGTGACTTTGGCTAAGGAAAATCCTCCATGTAGACATGATAAACTTGAGAATAGGATCTAAGGACATTGTTGTAGTTGTTTCGATTTGCTTTCAAATTTTATTTTATCTTTGTAGAAATTTCAATTTGCATCTCTTAATAAAAATCCCAAATTGGTTCTATTCTTTTATACATCCCAAATTGATATGTTGTTGCTATCGTTAAGGTAAAGTTGGCTAATTTCTCCAAGGATAAGAATCAATTTTCTTCTCCAGCTGTGTTGAAAAAATAATTTAAATAAATCTAGTCTAGACTCTAGACTATAAATCACGGTATAAATTTCTGTAAACAGTACACTATGTACCCTTGCGATTAACAAACTAATGAGTCTATGTATTCATGTAAATGAGTAAAAATTAAAGATACAGAAACTATTAGGCTGATAATTGTCAAAACAAACTAAACATGCAGTTCATGAATGTAATGTTTCTCTTTTTGATGTGTTTGAGGTAATACTTGAACAATATGTGAATTCAAGAAACTGAGAAAAGCCCATATTAATCTTTTCAGAGCATAAATAACACCATAGCATGACCAAAATACATACAACCAAGTTTAGTTTGATTAAACATCAAATTATAACCAAACCAGCAAGAACCTCCAATAGTTGAGCTTGTGCTATGCCCCTGTCCGCGCTTCCTGTCCAACTACTTTCAATTCCTTTTGGCGGAAAGGAAAATCTATTCCACTTCTTGTAGGTAATCATCTATTTCAGTTGGAGTGAGAATTCTGCAAGGAAATGAACGACTGTTTTAGTAACCGGCTAACAGAGTGAACTCGTGTTAAAACTCTAAAGACAAGAAGACACTTGCCTGAATACTTTGTCTGTTCCAATAATGCCAATCTCAATGTTTTTTGCTGAGATCTGTCCCTCAAATCTGGATTAACACACCAAATATAAGTTATTTTAGAGGATTCTTTTACTATTATTGTTCAGATAGAGGGGAGGGGGGCAGAAGTCGATAAAGAAACTTTGCATTGAGAACCATTACTGCACAACAAGCAAGCAATGGGGATGGTCTCGCAATTCTGGACAAGTTCAAGTGCGTGATATTTCTGATACTATATATATAACATGACGAACAAGATTTAAATCCTTTTTTTTGGTGGTGCCAACAAACATTTATGTGAATTACAGAGGACACCAAAATCATCTAGAGGGTCGAAGAAACACACATCCCATCAAAGGGGATATTTTCATATAGAATAGACAGCTCCTGCATAGAGGAATAAATTAATCTTACCCCTCCTTCAATGTCAGGATAGCAGTGTGTACAGCATCATCGAGCTCCATTTCCTCCGTGTATCTGAGTGGAACAGGAACGTTATGTTTTACATTAATAATACTTCACCAGTTATCTAACAGGTAGACAAGCACCCCAAATTAATAGGCTCTGTAGTTGGCCAATGAGACAATGTTCCAACATGCAGACAACATTTGACATTGTGGGAGAGAAAAATGGTTAACTTCCTTCAGAGGTATGCCAAAGTTTGACCTATAACTCCAATCGCCAGCACCGACTGATGTCACAAAGCACTATGGGCAGAAGCCCTCTTCTGACTTCTTGTTTCAAGCAAATCAGTTTTTTCATTACCGACAATCCTTGCACATTTGCAATAAAACCCATCCCATTATAGATTTCCTCCTTTTTCACCCCACCCATCTTCTGATGCCTCAGTTCATGTAATAACCCTTAGCACATCATAGAATAGAACAGATGCAAATCATTGACATACTCACAAATTAAAGAATGTTTCCCCTGCATAAAAGCTGTTCCAACTACTTTTTGCAACTTTTGGTAAAAGAAGAGGAAGTACGAGAAGCAGTAGCAGGTTGCTACAAAGATGGTGTACAGTAAAAGATCAAGACAGTCTATCAATGATGGGATGAAGAATTAGACATCTGTGGGTTATTGAGGAGAGATTATTGTTCTCGTTTTACCAAAAGCTACAAACTCATGAGGTAGCTGGTCAAGATGAGTCTTCTAAAACTTGTAATTGTTATATTAAATCAGACAGTAACTTCGATTGCAGATCAGTAAATGTAAAAAGATAGCATTAGAAATAAGAAAAAGGAGGTTAAATATTTTTTATAAATAACACGATCAACTTTTCTAAACGAATAATGATTCACCTCTTCTCAAGAAATGTCTTAGCATTGGAGACATTTTTTCCCATTGCCGAATTCCAAGAGAAGTACGAACCAGATGGATCCACCTAAAATGAGAAAAAAAACAGCTGAACATGAAAAGAGTTCAAGCAACAAAGGAACCTGCAGGCTGCAGCTCTTTAAACTAGATTTACAAAGAATAAAAGCTCCCACAAGTGAAACACCATGGAGAAAATCTATAAAAAATATGTAAATTCACCTCACGAAGTATAGATCACCAAATCAGACAGAACAGAAAGTGTCAGAGAGATCACCAGTACTGATAGACAACATACCTGATATAGTTGTGGACCCTTGTCATCAAAACCCGCAACCAAGAGTGAAACACCAAATGGTCTTACACCACTGTACCGGAGAAAACAGAAAACAAAAGGAAGTAAGGGATTGCCCAAGAAGACTACAGATGACCTCTTTCTTGAACATCCGAAAGAAAATCATGAATAGATACAGATGAGCATCTGGATTAGTTTAAGAAAGATATTGCTTTGGCCTGCCCTACAGTTTATAGTCTGAAGAATCTTAAGTGTTTTACGTTCATCAACAGAACAATTAATATATACTCTAACATGAAAAGAGAGCCCATCGAAACGATCCAAAAGTTTAGAGACCAAATTTAACCTCAACTTTCAAAAATGCTTCCAAAGAGTAGCTGAAAAATTAGAATTGACTAAAACAACTGTAGTACACATTGCTTCCATCCTTGATAAAGTTGGCTTGTGCAGCCCCAGTAATCCAACAACAATTCCTTTTGAAATTAACCCAAACTCAAAAATCCACCTACTAACCCTAGGTAAGAAATTACAATGCCCAAAGAAAGGAATTTTATTAATCTTAAAAGATTATTAATTAACAAATAGAATTGTTTCGTCAGTGATAACTTATGGTATCCAACAACAAAAACTAGACCTCAGGTCCAAACAAGTTGGGATTGATAATACGAATACTCATACCATGTTTCTCGATATTTAAAATATGATCAGTATATATTATAGGATCCTCCTAGTGAAGTGGAAGTATGGAATATAAGAGTGGTTACCCTGATTGGGTGAATTCCTGCATGACAGCAGCAGTTTCTCTCACCAGCTGTGTGACAGGGATTGATTCCTATGCACCACACAGACAAATCAGGCAAATGTAGAAGAAACAAAGTATGCTAAAGCAACATCACATTAAAGCACTAGTGTGAGATAAACAATGCAGGTTAGAGGAAAAGGGAGCTCCAATAGAAAACCTCTGCCTCCATAAAGCAAGAGCAAGATTAGACAGCGACTTATATCTTAGCACCAATACAAAGAAGAAGCATCTTAAATTGCTAAATAGTAGGACAGTTATATCAACTGTGCAAATATCACCCAGCAAAGTGGTAACATTACACTTGAATCATTAAGAAAATACTGCACTTGAATCATAGAATTGAGATTTCATAAAAGCTAATTCATACTTTATAAAGTCGGTAATATTGCTCAGCTGACTTTCTACTTTTCCGAACCAAAACTCGAGAATCAGGGCCCATGCCACTGCAAGGAGTAAATGTTGGTATTAGAGAGATCACCAGAGGTAATGCAATAACCACAATAACATATAAAAACACCCCCTGGAAGGATATATCAGAGAACTAACATCATTTGCAAGGCATATATTGATGCTTTACTGACATTGTTAGATAATTTAGAATAGAAGCAGAACCAACAGCAAGAGAATAACATCAGCCTTCATAGGTACCATCTTTCCACGTATAACAAGTTTTTAGTTACAAGTTCTAGTGAATAACAACTAGCTAAGCAAGGCAAATCGCCAATCGATTTGTCGATCTAACTACAGACAAAGCACCATGGCCACAGGAATTTTTTTGTGCTCTATCATATAACAGATTGTACCTGTAGACAACTCCAATATTTGGTGTCAAAGTCTGAATTTTCTGCACCTGTTATACATTTCAAAGAGTCAGGTATACAAGGGTTAACTACAAGGAAATCGCAACATGGCAGAGGGTAAGGAATGTAAAGCAAAAACAAAAAAAAACAGTTGGAATACCCATGCAGTCTTAAAACATGATAGGTAGAAATACATATCACTGAACCACAGAAAAGACGAATTTAACACCAAAGACTACGAACATGAATGCACTTGTTGGTATGTTGTAACCTGGTGACTGGCTAACTGCTTTTGTGAATATAATTTAGAATATAACTCTACAGAGCAGTAAAATAAACATTACTAACAAATTTATATATCTTCAATGCATACACAAATTCAAACAGACTAATTATCTTAAATTAATAAAAAAAATCATCATTTGTTTCAATCTTGATGAAGCTCAATTGGATGTCAGACCAGCCTGACCAGGTACTCATAGATGGAACTAAACAGAAGATATCTTCATTTATACCTAACTTATCACTAAACTGCAAACTAGTACTCACACAACAGAGTCATTGGAAATTTTTATCAACAAAAAGTTACAGTATAAAAATAAAGCACTAGAATCAACTTTAGAGAGAAAAATAAGAGCACCTTTATATTTGATTAGCTATCAACAGTCAGTCTGGCAACTATAATTTTATAATGAACATTCGTTCACAAGTAGACAACAGAGGATAAGTTTTACGAAAAATACTTACAGATGCTTCATCAACTAAGATGGATGGTAATTTCTTCTCGGTAGCAATTACAACACCATTAGAAGCTGCAATCATACAGTTGGATATATAAAATCAGTACAAGAACTTCACGACTTATAATCGAGCTAGGAAAACAAAAGTTTGAAACTTCTCCACGAGGAACTCTTTAATGAAAAGTAGAATGACACCACAATACCTGAAGGACATGTGTATCCTATTATAATGTTATTGGTTTATAAAGTCCAACTACATTCTTCAGTCTTCACTAAATTAAAGATCCCAGTATGGAATGCAAGTCATCTATGTTACAAAGCCAAAAGCATTTAAATCAACAGCTAGAAGTAAAACGATGTTACAAGATTTGCTTTCAAATATTTCAGAGTTAACTTGTTCAGCATTCTCTATGTTTACTTTTTTTTATAATACAAAGCAAGTGAACATGCTGAATAGAACACAGTCGCGGACTTATGTTAAAGCTTTTACCATATCAATAACTTTGCACTTAAATTAGACCTTGAATTACCTTTAATTCCCAATGATGTTTGACCAGATCCAACAGCAGTCAACGCATGCTCAATCTGAACCAACTTTCCAGATGGGCTGTGCCACAGCATATTACAATATCAGACATCACAATTGAGTAGAAACTATATAATTGATAGAATACATGCAATCTCTATCTCATAAACCTATACCTGAAAGTTGTAAGAGAGAAAGAATACTGACTATCACCCATTGCCTTAAGGACTAATTTTCAGTTGAAAACCTGTAAAATGATAACGTCCCGAGCAAAAACAGTATAAGTCACACAGTAGAATCACTAGCCTAACTAACATCCTTACTGAAACTGCAAAATCACTATTTTAAACCATGATTAACTAATTCACCAAAAGGTAAATACACCGAAAATCGATATCCAGAACTTCATTGAACACCAATAAATATTCCAGTTCTTTCTACTTCACTAAAAACTAATATTCATCTCTAAATTTTAACAATGCTGCAGGGATCTAACGAGTATGCTACTCCCAAAGTATTTCTCTTATATCTAATTCGTATGACAAAAATTGAAATATTCACGTATTTAATCAGAAAATGAGCACAATCTAGTTTAATCAATACATAAAAATGCAAAAAAATTGAGTTATAAGTAACCAAAAAAGGATCAAATTACACAGGAATAATTTCTATCCTAGAAGAAAAAGCATAAAACCTAAGTAAATTAAGGCAAAAATTCAAACACATTGTGACAATCTATATCTATGATTGCATTAGAGATCAAATTTCACATACGATCGAGAGGTTGAAGATGATGATGCAAAGTTTCAGCAGCAAAGAGGATTTGCAGAAATTGGGAGTGTAAATGTGCTTCTTCTCGACAGATACTTTTCTTCTGCTTGAGCCTTGAAGAAGAAGAAATACTATATTTTGGACGAGAAAGATGGTCACTTAACTCCCAAAACTCTTTTTGAAGTTTAATATAGTCCCTAAACTAATATTTCAGGCTATTAGGGCATTGAATTATAACTGTTTTCAGCTTCAACAGTCCATATGCTTAATTTTGGCTAAAGTATATTTATTAACGGTGAAAAAATTAGCTCACGAAAATATGATCTTTCTAAATGTTAGAAGTTTAAACGGTTACCATCTTAGGAAGATAGACTCGACTAAGGTGTTAAAGTTTAGATGGGTTAATGATCCTCACATTTATTACTTTGGTTAATTTTGATTTGTTCAAATTCAGCTCATTTTAATATTAGATTGATTAGTATATATCTCAAATTAATGCATAAGAAATTTTATTAAAATATTTAAAGAAAAAAAGTTTTTTTCTTTTTGGTTTGATGTGTTGTATATTCCTAGAATAGATAGAAAATGAACTATTATTAACTTTTATTTTGTAATTAAATAAATTAAAAGAAAACAGACAAAAAAATTAAAATTTGGTAAGAGTTAGATGAGTTTGATTGTCTCCCATTTGTTAGGATATATAAACTCAAGTAATTTTTAGACAGAGCTTTCGACAATAATTCACCTATTGATTTAAACCATTTTAATCTACTTAAATTTAGTGTTAATGGTTGACTCTTTGCTTTGGGGCTTGAATTGTATCCAAATTCACTTTACAAAATCCTACTCCTACCAAATACCATTATTTTGTGGCTCAAATCTAAAATTCATATAATTTTATAAAGAGAAAATAGTCTAAAGCCCCCATCTATATTCGCAATTCCAACTATACACTCCAACTTCACGGGTGTCCTATATCACCCCCTGAACTGTTTAAAACAAGAATTATTATACCCTTAAAATGTCATAACAACATCTATGCTAATAGGTGAGACTCACGCTCTGTGGAAATTTTATTTAAATTTTTTTTTTTAATTCTTTTTCCTTTTTAACTTATTATTTTAAAAAATAATTTAATGTCAAAACGTCAAAGTTCATGAATGTATTTTGGATTTTCAATTTGTAACACATTGATAACATAGATGGTTGTTAATTATTTGAAGCTGAATACATTGAGTTTTGATTGAGTTTATGGCTGTGATTTCAAATTTAAAGAAACGCCCGAAATTTCATGGAAATCGACGAGCTTCCATATAAAATTATTGAATCTATATTCTAGAATTGGGAGCAACTTTCGGATGGTTTAAAGAGTTTTTTACGATTAAAAATTGAAAACTGAAGTTAATGGTATAAAATGTAAAGCATCAACTTGAAACTTCCATTAAAATTAGTTTAAAAGCTTGAGCTAACAATTCGACTTGCCACAAACGAGCATCGTTTTGAGTGGGTAATATATCAAAAGGTTCAAAACGTCGAGGGAAGCTTATATCTAAAATTTAAGGCAATTTGGAGATGATTTAGGTTGATTTTGCATCAAATTTCAAAGCAATGGAGCGAAGAAAATGAAGAACTAAAAATATACATATTTATGAAAATTTCAAAAATAAAGTTTTATTATTTGTGTTGGTCCTCACCCTCTCTAACAGAGTGAAATAAAATCATTGTGCCACGTAAGCGTCTAGGGAGTAAATTATTTTAGTTTTAAACAGTTCAGGGGTGATAGGACACCCGTAAAGTTGAGTGTGTAGTTGAGATTTCAGGTATAGATTGAAGGGCTTTACAACCATTTTCTCATTTATAAATAAGTGAGTAGTCGTCACCCATTATAATATTTGGCATTCTCACAATCTAATGAAAATGAGAAATATGCACCTACTTTCAATCAACAAATCCATCACAAATGAACCAGTAATATTTATGAAACACAAAAATTAAACCTAATAATATATCACTAATTGACCTATAATAGGATTTCGGGGTCAGATTTTGTTCAATTTTTCTCAAACATGATTCCATACCATTAAGTATATATACCTACACCAATTTGAGATAAATTCTATTGACACGCCCAACATTCTCTTCATTAGACTAATTGAGGTGCAAGTGGCCCATCACCGGTCTCATGAATCTCCTCCTTGAACTAAATTTCATGTGGCTTATTATAATCCCTATCCATAAGTCCTTAATTATTGATATTCACTGTGTGTCACCCACATGACCGAGCATTTATGACTGTTGAGGCCCAAAATTTGCCAGTTTCTTCCTTGTGTGGTGGTCTTCAAGCTACTTTTGACGTGATAAAAGTTGTTATTTGAGCTCACAACTTCATTATACCTTCTTCACTATACTTGTTTCGTCAAACTATTAATGATAATATAAGTTGTTGGGCCTAAGCTAATTAACCCAAAAAAATACTCCTCTTAATGTGATATTATATTATTTGTCTTCAAATTTGATGGCACAATTTTATATGTTATTTCTCAATCTTTTCAACTAATTAACTTATTGGCATGATATCCAACAAATCTTTTTTCGACACTTACAATAATTTAAAATATTAGTGGCAGTGTCACGACTCAGACCGTCGTGATTGACACCCACCCTAACCCTTCGATGGGTGAACCAAAACTACGTGCCCAACTAATCAACTTAACCAAAGTAATACACATTTAAAGCTACGGAAGCAGGTTTAAATAACAATATAATTAATACGGAGTCCCCATAAACTCCAACGATTTTAAATAAACTAGTCAAACTAATGCGGAAGAACAACCCCTATAACCTGAAAGTCAATGTACCAGAACTCTACTAACGACAAGTCTAAGAACAAGGGGTACAACCCCAAAACTAAATAACACCTTACACAAATAGACTGAGTCCGAAAATAGTGGACTTAAACAAGAGAGATTCATGACAGCTTGAAAGAACTGGCTCACCTTGAATCTGATCACGCTCAATAGTCACCTAGCTGAGGTCTATCAATAGCCGTCTGAAGATGCCCTGTAGTCAACAAAGAACAAGCAAATGCAGTATCAGTACACAACCACAGTGTACTGGTAGGATCACACGGCTATCTCAATAAGTGAAACACATGCAAGTAACCACAACTTTATAAAACAGGCATATACAATATTAGTCATCTTTGCAGGATCAATGTAACATTCTACATTCTCAATAATACACATTGGTTATCATTTTAGAGCAACATACAGTCTTCCAATATCAATCATCATTAGATATGAACGTAATAATCATAAGTAGATATACAACACAATTCAATGGTCCTCTCACGGAACCCAATTCAATGGTCCTCTCATGGAACCCACACCCAAACTGTTAGCATACCAAATATGGTACCCGATCCCATGTTTATGCTGGAACGCAACACCCGATCCATTCAACAAACCACAATCACAATCACAATGTATATTCTCACAATCATACAACAAGAGGTGATTCATGACATACAATTATTCAATTATCCTTATTAACGATTAGGGTGATCAATAATGCAATATTCGTATACATATATGTATTGTAATGAGCAATTATAAACATATATCACACCAACATGAAATCTATCACCTACCTCGAAACAAGCTAGAAACCCTAAGAAACTTGATCCTTCTCTTTTCGGATTCGTTCCGCTTGTTCTTGGCCTACAAACAATCAATAAAATATGGGAATCAATAAACAATCACTAATTACCCGAATTACTAACAATTCTAACAATCCTAATCAAATTCACGATCCCAAGTATCCAAACTAGGGTTTTTTCCCACCATTCAAACAGTTCCAAAACCCTTCCCCAACAATAATCACCCAAGAAACTAAGTTTTACGGATCGAAAAAATGGATCCGGGGAATGAAAACCTTACCTTAGTCTCAAGAATGGTGGAAAACTGTCAAGAAAACCCCTGGGGTCGTTCCTTAACTCTCAAAGTCAAAAAGTGTAGAAAAAAATATTTTTGGGATTTTATTTTCGACTTAAGTAGCGTCTGTTCCGCTACGGCGGGACCCATCCCGCTACGGCGGCATGCACAGAGACAGAATGCTTGAATTTGAATTCAAACCTCCATTTCACAACACACCTGTCACGCCCCGAGCCTACACCCTGGGCGGGACCGGCACCCGGAGACCCTTTCTGGCCCCAAGCGAACCCTTGGCCTGGCTTTCTTAACTCAGCGGAAACCTCAACAGAATAACTCAATGCAATGCAATATTACAAAACAACTTAACTTATAAAATATGGCCATAAAGGCAACTCGAATCTCAAAATAGAATATTTACATATATACATAGATAAGAGACTCAAAACTAGCTGACTGACTGTCTATCTGTCTATCTATGAAGCCTCTAAATTACTGAGATGGATGTTGGGACAGACCCCGCAACATCCTAATAAGACAACACTAAGAACACGAAGTAATAGAGTCCTCCGGAAAGCAAGGAGGCTCACCACTGACTCTGGAGTGCTCAGTTGGATCAACGACGTGCAGGCTGCTGATCTGGGATACCTGGATCTGCATCATGAAACGATGCAAGCCAACTGGCATCAGTACATGGAATGTACGAGTATGCAAGCTGGAAAGCTAAGCAACAACGGCTAGAAGGAAACCTGGGAGAAACTGAATAGCTTACCTGGCTCAACCTGACTGACTTCTTTCTATATAAGGCAATTTAAAACAAGTGCGATATAAAGAAAGACTGTTTAAAACATGTTATAAACTCTGTGTGTATACAAAGATACAATAAGCCTGAAATGTATATAGAAATACAATGAACTGATGTATATAAAAATACAATAATCTCTGAGTATGAAAATACAATAACTGCTGTGGGAGTTTCTCTAACCGACAACCATCACATAAGAGCTATAGTGATGATACAGCGATCGACCTCACGCTGCCAGAGCATCTTATACCCGGCCAAAAGTATAAGACCTGAACTGCCTAATGGATCCACTAGTCTAATCTGAAAAGGGTTCATCTAAAAAGCATGATCCTTTTCTACCCATGGTGGCTAACATGGTTCTATGGGGGCTGTGGGTTCTTTGAACGCTCCCCCA